CCTACTTCAACAATTTGAAATCGTACAAACTAAAATTGAAGAAATTGATATTGAAAATGACGAGCAACACTCATTAGACCGTGACGATATTGAAACAAAATACCACAGCACCGTAGGTAGACTCACTAGATTAATAAAATCAACWCTTCGACCAGAAATTAGTGATGCTTGCGACACAAACGCAACTTACAGAGAACAAACACSTCTCAGTCAAGGATCGAATAGTACAATGTCGATTCGTTCACATTTACCACGGCTACCATTGGAACAGTTCGACGGTGATTATAATAAGTGGCAACGATTTTTCAACTGCTTTAAATCTCGAATACATAACGAACCATCGTTAACACACATAGACAAGTTGCATTTCCTACGGTCATGTCTGTCAGGACCACCACTYGATTTGATAAATTCGTTAGAGGTAAATGAATCATATTATGATAATGCTATGAGYGTTTTAAAGCAGAGGTATGACAGAAAGAGATTAATTACAGAATCACATATACGATCATTATTAGAACTGCCAAAACTTACTAATTCAACAGCATGTGACCATGCTGACTTAGCTTTTTACTTAAGTTCTCAACACACTTAGAAGCACTACGTGCCCTATCACGCCCTGTCAAGTACTGGGACGATCTATTGGTAGGTATTGTAAGAGCCAAACTAGACACTAAAACAYTAGAGCAATGGGAACTGTCAATTACAGTAAACACTGAAGTCAGCATTAAACACTTGACAGAATTTCTAGAGAGTAGAGCTGGGTCRATGGAATCGTTTGAAAACCAAACATCAACCTACACAGGTACCAAACCACTCAAACAAAAAAAAGGCTATAATTCCACATCTCTTATAGCCACTCAAGCCAGTCAAGAAAAGTATCCAGCCTGTGCAGAACCACACAAGGTCTACCGATGTGAACGGTTTAAGACAATGTCGATTCAAGACAGGTATGACACAATAAAAAAAACATAAATTATGCTTTAATTGTTTTTCAGCTAAACACACAATTTATGAATGCAAAGCTTCCTTATGTCGACACTGTCATCGCAAACACAATTCAATGCTACATGGATTACCATAAC